CTCGGAGTCGGGTCGAGTCAGCAAATCGAATATGCTATAAATCCTGGCTCTGATATATACACACACACACACACACACACACACACACACACACACACATATATATATATATATATATATATATATATATATATGTATATTACACATGTACATATACATATATACATATATATATATTTTTTTTTATTTATATAGCTAAGAAGTATGTATAAATAGCGGCGCACATTTACCGACGCGGTTCGGTCATATTGGCCAATTAGTTCGGCTCTTGTGGGTGACATACAGCGAGGGCGCCACAAACGCTGGCTCCTCTAAAACCATGGGAGATTGTAGCCCCTGCAACGTCCGCTCAGTCCGCTGTCCGCTTATATAAGCTTTCCCCACCCTCTCGCCCTTTCGTAGGATATTCGCGGGGCTGGGGGGGGGGAGGCAATGCGACCGACTCGCAACAAAAGACGCGAGATGGTTGGTGGAAGGGGGCTCAAGGGGGTGAGAATCGGCATCGACGAGGTAATATCGAAGATAGCCGGCCCTACGTAAATTTTCGTGACTCTCGGTCGGATTTAGCGGGCTCAAGTGGATAATTGAAAAATAATATGGCCACGTTCAGCAGAACGTTCATTTTGCAACTGTTGGAAGTTTTCTGAGCTCAGATTGGATTATTCCTCTAGATCTGAAAAAATAATCCAATCTGAGCTCATAAAACATCCAACAATTGCAAAATAAACGTTCTGGTGAACGTGGCCATTGATATTATCGATTTAAATGAATAATTGAGTAGAAGTAAAAAGCTTTGAAAAAAATATATAATATTATACGAGGTGTGACTTAATACGTGAGCGCATACTACCAGGCGGGCGCCTCACTGACATACGCTCGTCTAAAAGACAGCTGATTGGATTGACTTTACTCAATAATTACTGCTTTATTAAGCATTATAGAAAAAAATGCTAAGGACTTTTTGACTCAATTTTTGATAAGAAATATCGCCGCGTGATAGTGGGCGCAAATTAAGTGATACCCTGTATATAATGTAAATAATATAAAATTGTTATAAATACATTTTTGTTTGTCTATTTTTTTTTAAACTGTTTAAAAAAGTTATATTTGAATATACAAACGTGTAAACGAAACGCCTTCTCATTGGCTCACGAGACTTGTGACATCACTGTGACAACTAGTTCATATCTCCATAAAGGTAATGTCCCATGACACGTATTTTCCGCGTAACCAATCAGAAGCGTTTCGCGTTTCTCATTACGCATATTCACGCTTCTGATTGGTTACGTGGAAAATATGTGCCATGGGATGCCATCATCCTAAACTATTTCATATACTGAGTCCTCGGATTAGTCCAGGGAGGATTAATCTGCACAATCCTTTGGGTCTAACGAACCCACGGACTCGAGTTTATCACTACGGACATCCACACGCAGTAACATACTACACACACTCACAAATACACATTTCCGACTTTGTATTCAACTGTACCACTTGCTCTGGCCGTATTGTATTCTGTAAAGAGGAGGCAGGTGCCATTTACTTTTAGACGAAGAAGTCTACCGATCCGGTCTACCGCTTCTCATGCGCTTATTTGCTCAAACATTTTAGTTAATAACTCAATAACTATTGCAAATTGTACAAAATGGTAAACGACTTTTCTTTTTAATCTATCTCCCCAATCTATCTCCATCTTTCATTACATCGAATCGAACATGCCGTATATTTATGTTAATATTAATAAACAGATACTAATATATTTATGTAATTAACTAAAATTATAGTATACAGGGTGTCCCATTTTAACTTTCGCACCGTAATATCTCGGGAATCGATGATTTCATTGAAAAATGTTTCGGACAAAAGTTGTATGGTTTAGAGGGGACCATCAGATGAGCTGACTAAATTTTGGGTCCAGCGCCAACTTTAGACCCAATAAGACCCAACTTGATTTTTTAAAATGGAAACCCCAATTTATTATTGTATCATTTTTTTTCTACTAATTAATTTGAACAACTTTTGTCTGAGACATTTTTCTGTTTGCCTGATACTTTTTGAGATATTCAAGGAAAACTTGGTAACTTTTTTCAATATTTTAGCTTACGATATCTCGGCAATTGTTTGTCGGAGGGAAAAGTGGTACAGGACTTCTTCACTTCATTTCGTCTCAAGAATATGCTATTGCAATAGTACTTCAATTTTTTTTAAATATTTGTGTATGCATCTCCTTGGAGTTTTCATGTATAATATAATAATTCAAAAAATTAAAATTTAATACGGGCAATAAGAGCCAAGCGTGCCGTTTTACCGCTCAAATATATTATAAAATACATGTGGTCAAAGTTACGAACGTTTCGACCCTTTTTGGGGTCCTCCTCAGCGCATTATATAACAGTAAATTCTACATAAATAATAACTCAAACTATCGATTGGGTATACTTAGAATTTGACCGGTTGAGCGGTTATTGAGATCTCAAAATCTCGGGTACTCGCAACTCGTGCGTTCGCGTAAAAGAGTCACGGTGCGGTCTCGCTTCACGGGTACTTGGCACGAGACACTACCGTGTCTCTTGATATTCATGTGATTAACTAAAATAATAATATACAATTAAATAATATATTACATGCTATTATTTTAATTAATTTATATAATAGACAATGTATATTTACAATTAAAAAAATATCTTTCAGGAACATAAAATAAGTAAATTCCACCAAAAAGAAACGCCAACAGTACGCGGTGTTCCCAAACGGTCACCCATTTAAGTACTAACCGCGCTCAACGTTGCTTGACTTAAGTGATCGGACGAGAACTTGTAGGTTCAACGTGATTTGACCGTTGGCGAAAGTATCTTTCTTACAAAGAGATAACACACTTCTTCATCAATTTTCATATTATAAAAAAGAAAAAATTTTTTAAACCACCGATAGTGCGTTAAACTTGAAACTTCAGGCTTTAAAATGCCTTAATTTTTAATTTTTTGTCTACGATGATTTTTCGCCGAGTATCGACATCATTTCTAAAAAGTACAGGTTTAGTTTCAAAATCGTATAACTCGGTGAAAAAAAAATTGTAGAAAATAAAAAAAAACGTTTTGTAGGCAAAATATAGTTTACGGAACTTATCAAATTCTTAAAAAAAATAATAATAATAATAATTCCGAGAAATTTTTTAAATAAAAAAAATTATAATAGTAAAAAACAAAATACAAAAAACAAAAACCTAAAAATTAATTGGTAAAAAATTAGTTTTAAAAAATGACCCCCGACTACTGCCTAAAATAAGTTAACCCTCTGGCCAGCTAACCGTTTGTTAAAAAACAAAAAAATAAGTACATGGATACATAATTATTGTTATATAAGAATGTAAAACATATATATATATATATATATATATATATATATATATATA